TGTGTTATTTTACATAAATATTGGACAAGCAAGTGGGTTAGTTTATATGACTGATCTTTCAATAATGGTTATTCTCCTGGCTAATTCTGAAATTATTTCACAGTAGTGATGCTGACTTTTTCTTGCTAATAAAACATGTAATAATAAAAACAATTACTTGGATCCAAATTTAGTTCTGTCTAAAGCATATCCACTGAAATTTAAATTAATTATAATTAATCCTATTGGTTTTAAGGATCCTACCCTAACAACAACTCTGGATCCCACCAACCCAAGGCTTAATTTTCACTGATCGGTAAACTTTCCCATTTCTGTTTCATTATTTAGCTTTCCACTTTTTAAAGAAGGGAAACATGCAAAATGCAAATGAGGAAGCTATAATCTATGACCCAAAGGAAGGAGAGGATGAGTTCCATAAAAAGCCATTCGTTGTTTACACCATCAAATATTTATAATGATGCCAGATGTACGAAAATGATGATAGGAAGGGCTGTCTTCTTTGCCTTCTTACTGCCCAAGTTCCATTTGTCACAAGGCCATAATCAATAATAAAACTGGGCTATCAAGATAGCATAATAAGACATGCAATCCAGCTTTTCCACTTTATGTACAACTCCAAGAACGTCTCACTGCCAAGCCTTTAGAGCCCTCATGTCCACAGTTATGGAGATTTCAGAGAGCTCAACACATTTGAGGGCAATTTTATAAGTCTGAGGAAAGTGCAGATTCAACCAGCAGTGTGAGTAATTGTTCTCAGACCCATGTAAGATCATCTCATAGGACAGGGTAAGTCATGTCAGCTCATTAGCTGGGTTCATGGATAGTTTTCTGTGTTTGCACCTCACGGGACCATCCAATAATCACACAGGCTGGGTTCACATGCTATGCTAAATTCAGAACCAAACAAACCACGTTATGCCCTAGAGCAATCTTTCTCAATCTTGGCAACTTTAAGAGTTGTTGACTTCCACTCCCAGAATTCGCCAGCCAGTTGGCTGGGGGATTCTGGGAGTGGAAGTCTGTGTGTTAGCACTGAAGTCCATATGCTAGCACTGAAGATGTTACCTAGCAGGGTAATGAAACGTCTGCAAGAAAACAACCAAGCTCAGAGAACCCCAAGGACTCCACAATTTAAACCTTGGCTTCATTTTTCCCACAAAGTACCACTGCTGTGTAGTTATTTGTCCTGCTAATGAAAACACACAAACACAAAGGCAAAGAAGATTCGTAGACGTTGCTAGACTACCTTTGGGGTCAACAATCAAGGGTGGCACTGAGAAATGAAACAACGTGCACCACCTTCTCAATCTCAAATGGTCATGTGCTGATCTTCAGTTTGCAAAGATCAAACACCATCAGGGTTTGCAAACCCCTGATGGGGAAGCATCCTGCAGCAGTGCAGCCAAAAATTAATTGACAGAATTGTTCATTTTTTGTATTTGTAATATAGTATCTATTTTCTAGGATATTTTTTTAGACTTTTTGTTGTTGTTGTTGTTGTTGTTGTTATGGCTTTCTAAGGAAGGGGATCCCCAAGTTGTAAAGGAAACAACATGAAACTGCAATTCTTTTGCACAGCGACTCAAGTGCCAGAAAGCGCATTTCTCTGAGTCCCATCTCTGCCACCCGACTGCTGCAAGGAAGTTACATTTGCAATCCTATGAATTCAGACTTCCTTTAGAGCTCCTGAATTACTTTGCGCAGATGTATGTGATATTAGAGAAGGGCGGTCTCCTGTCCACGTTGGCTGTCATAAATGAAGCAAAAAAATTCTGGACTTTTAAGAGCTGGGATTAAAGCAGTGTTTCTCAACCTTGGCAACTTTAAGATGTGTGGACCAACTCAACAGCACAAATGTGTCACTCTTCCTCTCTAGCATTCTGGCAGCTGAAGTCCACACATCTTAAAGTTGCCAAGGTTGAGAAACATTTAGACAATTAGAATGTAAATACTGATGGAAGACAATTCAAGCTGAGGGAGGCTGGTGAACACCAAGAGCGGTGTCTCAGGCACCATGTTCCCACTCCTGCTTCACCCCATGGGCAAGGACACTCTTCCT